ACTTCCCATCAGTGATAGGCAGAAAATGTCACATGTAACTTTGAGCTCTGTATGCTCTTGGTTTTATGATTGGCCCGGCCACTGAGGCAGGAGTTAAGGAGATACCCCAGTCCTGAACTTGATCACAGTGTACTCTGTGGGTGCCCACTTGGCTGGGCTAAGGGGCACCCAGATGTTGGCTGTTTGGAGGAGAGATGAGTATTAGGTCATCAGAATGAGAAAGAAGGCCCCCTTTCCTATGTGGATGAACAGCAGACCAACGAGGGTCTGAATAGAGCCAGGAAGAGGAGGAAGGAGGAAGTCACTCTGTCCTCTCAAGTCCACACATTAGCTCTGCTGGTTTGCCGGAGTTCAGACTCTAAGACTCACACCCCAACACCCAGCCCTCTGGTCTTTGAACTATGGGAATTACTCCCCAAGCTCTCTGGGTTCTCCAGCCTGTAGATAGGAGGGCGTGGGTCTCTCCACAGTTCCCAGAGCCGATCTCTTGTCTGTCAGCCTACAGATCACATCGGTTCTGTTTCTCTGGAGAGCCCTGACCATGGCGTGCTGAGGTGCACTCAGCTGTGAGACTTATGCTGAGGGGAGAATGCCATCTCCCTGGCAATTACCACAAAGAAACACGTCACAAACGTGCTGAGAGAGGCAATCTATTGATTTGGGGAGGGACGTTAGAGCTGTTGACATCACAGTATCTGTGCTATGGGTACCTTTCAGAGTGAAACAGTCCACTATGAGGCAGGTCTGACATACAAGGTCACAGGTGGGGCTGGGAGAGCGCTCCTTTGGTAAAGTGTTTGCCTTGTAAGCATGAGGACCCAAGTTCAATTCCCAGAACCCATATTAAAAATAAACAACAAACAAAGCCTGGCATGGTTAATGCTTGTGACACCAGTGCTGGAGAGGCCTTGCTGGCCAGCCAGTCTTGGCTACTTAGTGACCTCTGTCTCTTTTTAATATTTTATTTATTACTTTTATTTTATGTGTGTGAGTGCATTGTCTGAATGTGTGTAAGTGCACCCATGTCATTCAATGCCCACAGAGGTCAGAAGAGGACGTTGGATTCCCCTGGAACTGGAGTTACAGACCATTGTTAGCTGCCACGTGGTACTAGGAATCGAACCCAGGTCCTCTGCAAGAAGAGCCAGTCCTCTTAATCCTGAGCATCTCAGCAGTCCCAAGAGATCCTATCTTATATAACAACACTAAAGGTGAATGGTGCCTGAGGAATGCCATTCAAAGTTGTCCTGTGGCCTCCACACACATGCACACGCACATGCACGTGCATCTGTACACACACAAAAACACAAAATAAGAATACATAAAAGGTCACAGCTGACAGTGGCCCTGGATGCCTTTCTCTGGGAGACTTGGCTTACACCACACAGATCACCACTTCGTAATGGGAAAAGACTACCACTGCAGTCCAGGCTCAACTTAAAACACCTTCCTGCCTGTGAGTGCCTCACAGACACATGTGACCAGTGAGTCAGCACTGTGAGAACCTCACACACAGATGCCAGAGCCACAGAGCACTGTCCTCACTGGGCCACTTTCAATGGCAATACTCTGTGACCAGTCAACTGGAGCATCTGATCAAGAGGCAGAAGGACAGGGAGCTGCAGGTCAGAGAGCTTGTTGCTGGGAGAACCCGGTGAGTTCTGACTCACTAATCACTTTCCACACCTGTGAAGTAAAGCTAACCATGGTTCTCACTTGCTGGGAGACTGAGAGGTTAAAACGTATAAGAAATTATCAGCCAGTAGAGTGGCAGGGGGCAGGTCTGAAGACCAGTCAGGAGCCTAGGGTTATCTAGCTAACCTGGGCCTCAAATTCCTCATCTCTCATCTCTAGTGTAACAAGAACATGGGACTTCTCATGGGCTCAAAGTAAACCTCATCAGCATAAATATGTCTGCACACTCAGCCCTCCACTGTGCGGGCTCCACATCCACAGGCTCAACCAACTGAAGAGTCAGATATTCGAAGATCACTTTCCTCTAGTCATCGTTCCCTGAGGGTAACACTATTTACATGGGATTTACACTGTATTGGTATTGTAAGCAATCCAGAGGTGATTTAAAGCATGTGGGTGCATGTGGAAGTCAAATGCATATATTACATCAGTTCTAGTTTGCTTTCTGTTGCTATGATAAACACCATGACCAAAAACAACTTGGAGAGGAAAGAGGCTATTTCAGCTTACAACTCCCAGGTCACAATCCATGCCTAAGCAAAGTCAGACAAGGAACCCGGAGGCAGGAGCTGAAGCAGAGGCCAGGGTGGAATGCTATGTACTGGTTAGCTCATGCTGGCCTGTGTTCAGCCTGCTTTCTTCCTTTTTTTTTTTTTTTTTTTTGAGACAGGGTCTCCCTGTAAGGCCCCAGCTAGCCTGGAACTCACTACATAGACCAAGTGGGCCTCAATTTCATAGAGATCCTCCTGCCTCTGCCTCCAGAGTGCTGAGATTAAGGGTATATGCCACTGCACCTGGCTCAGCTTGCTTTCTTATACAACCTAGGACCCACTGCCCTCCCATATCAATTAGAAATTAAGAAAATGCCTCACAGACATGGCCATAGGCCAATCCGATGGAGGCAATGCCTCAGCTGAGGCTCCCTCTTCCCAGGTGTGTCAAGTTGATGACTGAAGCGGTCCAGCACAGTGTTACATCATGTAAGGTATTTGGGCTCCTCAGAACCAATCAGACACCAAGCAGTATGGCATGTGGAGCACCATGGGTACAGAAAATCAAACAAAGACAGAAGTGCTGTAATTATCAAAACGTCAACCCACCTTTTGAAGGGAGAGTTGTTCTTAAATCCATTCACTGCACAGAAGTAAATCTCAGTCACACCTCCTCACCCCACCCCCGTGGAAATACCACTTCCTTCTCCTGGAAGTTCTGAAGCAAATGGCTTTGTGTGGGCTTGTGCAGGGAGGTCATCTTCCAAGTCAAAGCTGTGCCTCAAATGTGCACTGTGCAGGTGAGCTCAGGCAGGGGAGTGTGGGTCGGCCATCGCAGCCTCTGTTCATCACAGGCAGCAGCCAGGAGCTCACCTGCCTGGGTCAACTGGTCAACCCTTTTGTCCTGTTCTTCTGGATGATCATGTGATCCCTTCTTTCTCTAACCCCCACCCAGAGCCTTTCACCGAGGCTTCACATTTCCCAGGTTAAATGTGCCCACAATATGTCCTTCAGCAATTGATCACTCAAGAGTAGAGGAGGGGAAGTGGGGTGAAGAAGGGGAACAGGCGAAGAGGCCACTGAGGGCCAGCCTTGAACCATAGGCGCCCATGGGCCTGCATCTGATCCTGCCAATTCTCAGGTGGTACATGGTCACCGAGTGAACAGTCTCTCACTAGTCTACTCTCATTCAACAAGCCTGTCCTTGTGATTCTCAGCCCACTATCTGACAAGTTCTTGTCTCCCTCTGTGACCCAGTACTCCTACAGAGCAGCTATTTCGAGGGGTCTCACATTCCCTGGGCTGCCTCTGGTTGCATGGTGACCCTCTGGTCAGGGCTCGACCACCCATTTTCTCCCACAAACCAAACCCCCTTCTGCAGCAGCAATTCTGACATCTGTCCTTGTTTACTTTCTATTGCTGTGCTAAAATACTCTGACCAAAACCAACTTGGGGAGGAAAAGGTTTATTTGGCTTCCATGTCCTGATCACAGTTCATCGTTGAGGGGAAGTCAGTCCAGGAACGTGGAGGTGGGAACTGAAGCAAAACCACAGAGGAATGCTGCCTACCGGCTTGCTCACCTGGCCTGTGCCCAGTCTCCTTTCCAGTTCATCACTGAGGGGAAGTCAGTCCAGGAACGTGGAGGTGGGAACTGAAGCACAACCACGGAGGAATGCTGCCTACCGGCTTGCTCACCTGGCCTGTGCCCAGTCTCCTTTCTCATACAACCTAGGACGACAAGCCCAGGGGTGACACCACCCACAGTGGGCTGGGCCCTCCCACATCAATTAGCAATTAAGAAAATGCCTCAGAGACTGAGGGGAAGTCAGTCCAGGAACGTGGAGGTGGGAACTGAAGCACAACCACGGAGGAATGCTGCCTACCGGCTTGCTCACCTGGCCTGTGCCCAGTCTCCTTTCTCATACAACCTAGGACGACAAGCCCAGGGGTGACACCACCCACAGTGGGCTGGGCCCTCCCACATCAATTAGCAATTAAGAAAATGCCTCAGAGACATGGCCACAGACCAATTTGATAGAGACAGTTCCCCAACTGAGGTTCCTTTTTCCCAGGTGTGATAAGTTGGCAACCAAAGCCAACCATGGCAATATCCATCTAACTCAGGCAGGTCTGTTCCTGGAGGATCAGAGACCAGTGGTACTGGGCCCAGCCTCCATGGGATGGGGGCTCCATCAGGTCAGCTCCTGCCTGGTCCCACCCTGTTCATCCTCACCTGGTGCTGAACTTGGGGCTCACCAGCAGGCCTAGCTCTCCTCTGCTCACTCTTTGGGAATCTGTTGGCATTGCTCCTGCAGGAAGCCTTGGGGGTACCTGTGACTGAGTGATGGGGCAGGCTGTGGAGCAGGTCTGTCTCTTATGTTGCTTGTATTTTCCGAATTGGCCTTAACATAGAAAGTGGCGGTTCACCTCTCTTTGTCTCATTCCTCAACTATACACAGAGCCTAAGTGGGAAACACAGGGGCCTCAGGTCCCTGAAGACGCTGGCCTCTAACTGTACCTGAAAGGAGCTACTGACATCACCCAGAGCAGATTCTCGAGCTCCAGTCCAGATCACACATCAGTATCCTGACAAATATACTTACACTAAAACCCCAAACTTAGCCCAGGCATGGTGGCACATATCAGTAGTCCTAGTGCTCAGGAGGCTGAGGCATCATGATCACAAGTTCAAGGCCAGCAAGGCTACACAGTGAGACCTCGCTTCAAGAATCCAGAAGATAAGCAAACTTTAAGTCGCACAACCTAGGCATCAGGTGTAGAAAACCAGAAGCCACAGAAGGGAAAGCACTGACCTCCTCAGCCAGGTCTTCGGAGGGCCGCTCCTCAAAGAGGCGAATTTTATCCTCGAGGTTCTTCCTCAAAGCATCTGCCTTGCCCTTGCCCTTGGAGCGCAGCTTTCTCCCCTTGGACTATGAGCAGAGAGAGATTAGAGGAGATGCTGGCTTCTCCCCAAGCCACAGGGACACGTGTGCATGATTCAAACCTCAAAGCTCTACCACGGGCAGCCAGGGGAGGGAGACGGTCGGTCCGTGGGCCTTATAACAATGGCTGCCTGCTTGGGAAGCAGATTGAGGCAGGCACTCAGGGCAGGCTTCTCTGTGAAAGCAACATGAGTGAAGACTTGAACAGACTACACACATGCTGTAGGCAGAGCAAACGGCAACTTCAAAGGCTTCATCTTGGGCTCCCTAGCAGCAGAGGGTGACCCTGGGATGGGAGGTCTGGAGAGGGTTCTGAGGAGCGGCCTGGAGCAACAAGCACCAGGGAAGGAAACAGAAGGGCCAAGCAGAGCTGCAGCCTTCGGTCAAGTCTGTCTTTTGTTGGCTCACAGGGCTCTAGAGGAGGAACTGTGCTTAAGGGGTATCATTTAAAGCAGCTGTCAGCCCTCAGCCTTTAGGACCAGTGAGGGCTCCTTTTCTTGACTCAGTTGAACTGAGATGAGCACCCCACGTGTGCCACGTTAAACCTGTGTGCCTTTAGACCCTGGAATTTGAAACCAGTGTTGGCTGAAGGCAGGAGTAATGGGAGGGTAACACCCAGGCCAGGTGGCTCCCAGACACCCTGCACAATGCTTAGACGTGCAAAGGAGAATGCCTATGAGGTTAAGCCAGCTACCCATGGCTGCCTATGGTCACTGCTCCTGCCCTGAAAGGGACGACTGGTGCCAGCTAGGTCAGTTGCAAACTTTAAGTCCGGAGCAAGTCGAGAGGTTCTAGGAGTGACCAGAGGCTACCTCAGCTAGAGCGTAGAGGACAGGGACAGAGAACTGAAGCGCTTAGACCTCGGGGAGACACAGGACCTCATGGGTCAGAGGCTGGGGGACGGCCCCGGCTCTGCAACAGGCAGTCCAGACAGATCTTCCTACCTGCAGCTCGGGCACTGCGAGGGCCCGGTCCAGTTTCCGGAACTCTGCTTCCCGTGAGGCAGTCTGGAACTGCTGTAGCAGCACTCGGGCCCGGACTGTGGGGAGGGCCAAACTCTGGTCCATCTGAGCGAAGCAGCTCAGGGCCTCCTGCCTCAGTCTAAGCAGTTCTTCTTCGGACAGTGAGATGGCCACACAGCAGAGCTTCCTGGAGGAGACAGCGGCCATGGGCTCGGTCAGAGATACCAGGGCAGGGGGGGTGTGGAGAGAAGCTATAGACCTGCAGGGCTGCAAAGTCCCTGAGCCAAACCCCAGACTGGAGGGAGCTTCGGATACTGACCTGTGCACTCAGAGTGTACAGAATTCTCAAGGGCCTAATGCATGTTGCACAGTGCACAGTGCTGTATGGGAGCTGAGATTTAGGCCTGAGGGAGATGAGGCTGTGACGAGACCTTGAGGAAGTTATAGGTCTGCCAGCATTCATGACCTTGATGACAACCTGACCTCATCTTAGCAGCAGACAAACAAAGCACAGTCCACCAGCTGGGTGAGCAGCATCCATAAGCATGGAGGAGAGATGCTCACTTCTCCTTGCACACTGAGTCCTGCCTAAAGGACGGGGGCCAATGACTCACTCAACAACTCAGTCCATGCTGGACACCAGGCTGGGTGCCTGACTACTGAGGAATGGGGAACATTCAAAAATAGAATCTGCCGGGCGTGGTGGCGCCCGCCTTTAATCCCCACGCTTGGGAGGCAGGTGGATCTTTGTGAGTCCGAGGCCAGCCTGGTCTACATAGTGAGTTCCAGGACACCTGGGGCTACAAGGAGACCCTGTGTCAAAAAAAAAAAAAAAAAAAAAAAGAGAGAATAGAAACATAAGAATAGGCCTTGTCTGATTAAATACATTAAATAATTAAAGTAAATTTTGACAAGGTTCGATTAAAGTCAATCCTGACATTATAAAATGAGTCAAAAAAGACAAAAAAAAAAAATAGAATCTACGAAGGAGAGGAATTAAGGTAAGGTAGTGCCGGAAGAGTCAGCTCAGCTGCAGGTGGCACCTCACCAGCACGGGGGAGAGACAAAGGCACAGGGTGACAGTGACAGGATCACTGAGGCAGGCAGAGAGAGGAGAGACATGCCTTGAGATGACGAAAGCCAGGAACTGGCCACAACTAGATGCTAAGAGAGAAGCAAGGGGCAGGCTCTCCCCTGAGCTTCAGAGGACGTGTGGTCTTTCCACACCTGCATTTGGGCTCGGGAGAAAATCTTTCTGTGGCTTTAAGTTGTGGTTGGTGCTACTTGGCTGTGGCAGCCCTCAAAAGGTTGATATCCACTACACGACTGCGAATCCTGACCCAAACCTTGAACTTCAGGGAAAGAGAAGTGCAGGAAGAACCCTTCCTACTTAGGCCAGCCCATGTTCATTTTATTCAAATGTTATTCTGAGCGGACAAGCACAGGGTTGTCTGCACTTCCTGACAGTACTCTATCAACATAAGTTACATGAAACATGTTCCTTGGATGCTTTGAAACTGAGTAATATGCAAAATACCCAGCATGGGAATCCAGGGGAAGGCTCTACGTGTTCAGATCGTAGTGTGGAATGTGCAACTCGCCTAGAAAGTTCTCTTGTGAAAACAGACTTACAGACATGCCCAAGGCCCTTAGCTGACATCATGTAACACTTCCCCAATTTCGAAAGCACCTTTTGAAACCATGGCTTCTCCCTGATCTCTCTTCCTGTGGACAGTCTCTGCCTGTCGCTCTCTGGTTACAAAGACTCTAGAGTGACACGGACTCGCATGTGCATAGCCTTTACTCATGCCTACCTTCTAACAGATCCACCCAGTGACCTGGTCTCAGTTGCTGCCACTCAAACACCAGCAGATTATAGACATATAAGAGGCAGGATCCTGCCCAGTGAGGTTCAGCACCAGGCCAGGAACCTGGGGGTGGGTAGGCTCTCAAAGACACTTTCCCTTGCAATAATATTCTTCCATACCAGTTTCTCCTTTGGCTGTGTCTGCAGCAGTTCCAAGAGTCTCAGAGCCATGAGTCAGACATTTTACTTAATGTCTCAGAAATTAAGGTCACAACCCTCAGGATCTCAAATGTGCAAAGTGTAGAAGCAGCTCCCAGCATGAGCCTGTGGCTTGACCCTCCTTAACCCCTGGAGAAGCCATAAGAGGTTTGCGGATGGCCAGGTGAGACATTCCGTTTCCCAGTGAATGGTTAAGTCAGTGGTGGTTTTAGAAAAGCTCCCCACAACACACATCCAAGTGAAGGCAAAGAAAACGATCATCCCATAATGAGCATGTTAGATCCAATTCAAATGCAAGAGTCACCGATGGGAATGTGGGAAGACCCAGGCTGAGCATCACCTGATCGGACTAACACTGCTAAGGACAATCGTGGGAGTAAGAAGCGGTACTGAAGGATTTGATGCTTACTGTGCAGAGGAGAGTGTCTCGTGTCCCTGGGCAAGAAAGCAGTAACTAACCAAGACTGGAAAATAAAGGAAGCAGACCCACAAAGGGCTGGGACCAAGTGGAGGCTGCTTAACACAAGCACGATGGTATCATTCGGGACCGGGGAGGAACTTCAGTGGGTAAGAGCACTTGCTGCACACTCATGAGGATCTGAATTCAAATTCCCAGCACTCATGTAAAAAGCCTGACATGGCTGTGTGTGCCTATAACCCCAGCAATGAGGGGCAGACGCAGGGGAATCACAAGAGCTTGCTGACCAGTCAGCCTAGCAAAAATGACGAGCTTCCAGTTCAGTGAGAGATGGTGTCTCAAGGCAATAATGAAGCTTTAGACATCCAGTCTCTTCTTTTTCTGGCCTCTTCATGCAGTACACCTGTACCTCACACGCATGCCACACACACACACACA